TGCATAAACTTATTCATAATGAAATTGACTGTGTGAATCTTCTTTCGAACGTTAATATTTATGTGCCCCGCATATCCTCAAGGCATTCAGCAACGTTTTATTTACCAACACCCAAAACTAACTTGTTACGAAAGGCGCCAATTACTAATATGTGTCGGTATGCCGACAAATTCTATGATGATATATTTTTTGGAACCAATTAATCTTATTTAATGAAATATTGCTACATAATTGTTATGTCTTTTGTTCATAAGGTAATTTGCATTACAATTTAATTAATTAATTTATTTTTAGGGAATCTTAATTAATTGCATTATTCACTTATTTTGTTTGTTAAAAACTGCTTGAAAAGTATCACATTATTGTTTTATTTAGTTTACTGTTTTACCATATTATTATTTTTATTATTTCGTTAATTCTTGTGTTGTTACTTTAACTTAGTTTGTCCTCTAAATTGAAATTCTGTTGGGCAATAAAGACATTATTATTATTATTATTATTTTGTCACCGTAAACAAATTCTATGTACTCAGTTTCACTTAAATGCACCATTTTTGCAAGAAACACCTTACATGTCAATTTAAAATGATTTTAAAAGGTAATTACCTTTGTCATCTTTCTTACGTTATTTATTCCTATCAAAATAATTTATTTTGCCATTTCAATCAGAAAGAAAGCACGATTGTGACTACATTAATAAATTCAGTAAAACAAACATACTCTATTCAAAAACCCATTAATTAAAATATGCTAGTGCCATTTAAAAGAAATGAAGTTGGCAAGTTTGCATCTCGAAAACATTTGAAGCCAAACATTTTTTTTTGGCGAATAATTGAAGGACGATTTCTTGTACCCGTGTACCTAATTTCAGGTGATTTGTACAATTGGTTCTCAAGATATTTAACCGTTTCTGTACATTCATTTTTTTGCATTTTTTCGACCTAAACATTTTACTTTTTTGCTGTATATTTTGTTCTATAATCTGATTTTTCTATTCCCCTAAGCACATCTTTCTTGCGGAGGTCACACCTAATATTTTCGGTACTATAAAGTACTTGCTAAGATAAAACTGATTTTGGCAAATGAGCTACCCTCTAACAAAACAAAGGGAGGGTTTGTGGGGCTAGTACTTGTTAAGACAAGACTGATTTTGGCAAATGATATACCCTCTAAAAAATAGAGGGCTATTGGGCTGGGGCTAGTACTTCCTAAGATACGACTAATTTTGGCAAATGACATACCCTCTAAAAAAATAAAGGGCGGGTGGGAGGGGCTAGTATTTCTTAAGGTACGACTGATTTTGGGAAATCATATACCCTCTAAAAAAACAAAGGGCAGGTGGGTGGGACTAGTACTTGTTAAGATAAGACTGATTTTGGCCAATGAACATGGAAGGAAGGTAGGCGGGGCTAGTATTTGCTAAGAGAAGATTGAACAATATCATGAGTAGTCACTAGAATGAAGAAGGAGTGTTGAAAAAACTGAATCCAGCCTCCCATCTCTTTCATCTATTTTACTGACTTATTTTATTTACTGTTAAATGGGAATTGAATTCAATTTTGAAAAACTGTGGAATCCAGTAGACATTTCTTAGAGGATATGTCATTTGCCAAAATCAGTCTTATCTTGGCAGCTACTGGCTTATGGGTGGAGCTAGTGCTTGCTACGATAAGACTGATATTGGCAAATGACCTACTCTCTAAGAAAATGTAGGGCGAGTGGACGGGTCTGGTACTTACTTAAGATAAGACTGATTCTGCCAAATGAGATCCCTCTAAGAAAAGAGAGGGTGGGCCTAGTGTCTGCTAAGACCGATTTTAGCAAATGACAGATCCTCGAAGAAAATAAAGGGTGGGTGGGGCCAATACTTGCCAAGATAAGACTGATTTTGGCAAATCAAATATCCTCTCCCCTTCCTTGTCTTATACGGTATGCCAAAATTAGTCTTATCTTGACAGCTACTAGCCCCTCCCACCCACCCTCTCTTTTCTTAAAGGGTATCTCATTTGCCAAAATCAGTCCTATCTTGACAGCTACTAGCCCCGCCCACCCACCCTCTCTTCCCTTAGAGGGTAGCTCATTTGCCAAAATCAGTCATCGGAAGTAATTGTTGATAATGGACAATGTGGTATCATATACCGATTTCGATGAGGTTTTGGATAAAATATAAGGTATTGGCTTCACAAATCCGTTATTGAAATTTTTAATATTTTATTTGACCAGTAGAATCTCATTTGTAAAACACAGAAATTTTAGCTCTAAGCCAATTACTCCATCTTCTGGGGTCCCACAGGTATCGAACTTAGGACCCTTGTTGTTTTTGCACTTTATTAACGATCTTTCGGATGCTACTTATTCCCTGCAACAAACTTATGTTGGCTGATGACCTCAAATTATACACGGAAACTAATTCTGTTAATGATTGTTACTATTTTCAGTTTTGCTTAATTTTGCTTTACCATTGGTGTATTCGAAATAGATTAATGTTGAATATGTCTAAATTCAAAGTTATTTTTTATACAAGAAAACTTATCACCATTGTTTTTGAATACAATTTAAAAGGAGTAGTATTGGAAAAATTTGACTGCATTAAAGACTTAGGTATCAGTTTCAATAACAAATTTTATTTCAGAAATCATTATAATGACATTATTACTAAGGCTTACAAGATGTATGGTTTTATTTATCGCGAATGTAGAGATACGCAATCCATCGTGATGTAAAGCATTCAGATCTTTTGGAGAGATTTAACGTTAGATCTCTGCATCCTCTGCATGCTCTTGATTCGCTTCTTATATAATCTTCTTCACAATAGAACTGAGTGTTCTTTGCTCTTGGGTAAAATTAATTTTCTTGTACCATGACTAAATACTCGCCAACATATTTCTTTTTATATTAACTCTGCTAGAACTAATGCTCTAGACATATCTTCAATTAATCTAATATGCGGTTTATTTAATCGTATTTCTAATAACTGTGATATTCATAATGACTGATTAATTTTGGTCTCTGCTAACTTGCTAAACATTGTATTATGTTTTCGCCCACCCCTATTCCGTTTTCATCACTCATTTTATTGGCTCTGAGATGGAAGTTGTAAAGCTATTGCTTGCTTATAGCAGATCCTGCAGGAATTGATAAATTGATAGTTAACACAACCAGCAGTCTTCCACTCGATCTGGGGGATCAAGGTAACAGTTGAGATTTGATTAAAAGGGTTGGGGGAATTCGGTTAGCAAAATGCCGACAATTCAACAACTCAAATCTATTTTTCTGCGTAAGCCATCAAAGAACAAAATTTATTGAATAAAAGTCCGTAGGTAGGTTTTAAAATAATTAAAACACCCATTTACAGACCCCAACAAAATTTGTCCCTTGCTTTTCTAGGAAGAGCTTTGAAGTGTTAAATAAACCAAGCCCTCCTACATCTTTCTTTTCGAGTTCTCCTCCTGCATCAATTAGTTCGTGTTCGGTTTTGGTAAAGTGAAGTTCAAAAGTGTAAAATTGTTTTAAGTTGTAAGTACTAGCCCCGTCCACCCTCCCATCCCCTCTGTTTTCTTAAAGGGTATATCATTTACCAGAATCAGTCTTATCTTTACAAGTCCTAGCCCCACCCTCCTCCTTTTATTTTATTAGAGGGTATATCACTTGCCAAAATCGTTGTATTTTAGGAAATACTAGAACCACCCACCCACCCATCATTTTCTTAGTGTGTATGCTATTTGCCAAAATCAGTGGTATCTTACGAAGTACAAATCCCGCCCACCCACCCTGTGTTTAGTGAAAGGGTATTTCATTTGCCAAAATCAGTCTCATCTTTACAAGTACTAGCTCCACCAGTTTTTAAAATGTTAGGAATTCTGTAATTCAGAAACTGTTGAACGGTTAAAAACAAGATTCAGTAAATGTGTGTTATGGTACATACATTCTATTTTAGCATCATATTCAAGTCAATGACAGTCCATCCAACAACTACATTAATAAATACAAAAAATAATTCACCCATAATGATAATTACCAAGTGTAATTTTTGGCTATCAATAAACATAGATGTAAGTCATATTTTTCATTGCCATGGGTTTACAAAATTTAGATAATAAAACTCGTTTCAGTTGCAGCAAAAAAAAGGAATAGTTTTTAGAAAAATGTTATTTAAACTTTTTTCAACATCTGAAATTTGGCCCATATTTTCTAGAACACCCTGTATAGCGTCGGGTCTTTTCTAAAGTACTGTGTTTATTTAATTTAGTTATTATTATTATTAATAAAAAATAAAGGACAGAGGGCAAGCCCTGTTATACCCACGGAACTGTACAATTACAAACAATATGTTAACAATCTATAAACTGTCAAATCTAGATTTAAAAATATTAACATTAGGACGACTTCCTCCGGCAGCTTGCTCCAAGTGTCAAATACTCCGTTTGTTACGAAATGTTGTCTTACAGTCCTGCGAATGTTCTCTTTTTTCAGTTTGAAGCAATGACCTCTAGTTCTGGAGTATGGACATAAGGTAAATAAATTCTGCATCAATGGATTCTCGAGCCTCAATGATTTGAAGGTGAAAATTACATCCCCTCGAATTCTTCTGTCCTTCAATGTGGGTAGCGACATTATGATAAGACGCTCAGAATAAAACGGTGGGAAAGAATCATTACCATAGGAAAGACGAGTCATTCTTTGTTGTACTAACTCCAAACAGTACTGGTCTTACAAAATTTGTATACTACTTTAACGTAGTGCTTACACTTGGTTTTATAAAACATCTTTGTAGTAAATCCCCAAGGGAATTTGCTTTTTTAATGACACTCACAATGTGGTCACTCCATGTCAATTCTGAGTTTACTATTACACCTAGATCCAATTGGGAATTATTAGTACTGATTAATACTACTCCATCCATTGAGTAAACATATTTGCTGTTATTCGGTCCCATATGTAGCACTGATCATTTCTGCTTATTTATTGGGAGGAGCCACTTCTTGAACCACTGATTAACTATTAAAAATATTTACTCAAAATACTGCAATTCGTGGGACTGTCATTGTAAGTTTTTAAGTCATCAGCGTAGAACAAACACCTTGACTGGATTTCTGATTTTAAATCCGGAATATACCTTATAAAGAGCAGCGGACCCAGCATCGAACCCTGCGGCACTCCACTTCCCACAGCGGTCAGATCACTCAGTGATGCATCGACTTTAACTCTGAAACTTCGATTAGTTAAGAATCCTTTAATCCATTCTAGTAACAGTCCTGTAATGCCATAATGTCAAAGTTTTAACAGAAGAAATGTTATTGGAACTTTGTCAAAAGCTTTACAAAAATCAATATACACAACGTCTGTAGTAACAACATGGTCGAAATTTTTTGTTCAATCTGATACGGCACAAAGAAGATTAGTGGACACAAACTTTTTTGGGACAAATCCGTGTTGTTCGGCGAAAAGGACGTTGTTCGCAAGCATAAACTTTCTTATCTCATCGGAAATAATAGATTCCATGATTTTGGCTATGACCACCGAGATACTAATTGGTCTGTAGTTCACAGATTGAAATTTATCGCCTTTTTTAAAGATCGACTTTACAATGGCCAATTTCCAATCTTCAGGAAATTGACTGTTTTGAAAAGATTGTGTCATTAAAATCTTCAAAGGTGTGCACACGGTCTCAGCACATGTTTTAAGCACTGTCGGAGTAATCCCGTCTGGTCCAGGTGAGGTGGTTGATTTAAATTTACTCAACTTGATTTTAATTAATTCGTCCGGGAATCCTATATCGCTAAAGACAAAATTGATCTTCGGTCTGAATACCAGAGGTGTTGTGTTTGTTACTGTCTCTCTAGGACAAGATTGCGCAAGAGTCTCAGTAAATAAGTTGTCAATGATTTCGTCATCAGTTACTATAACGCCATTCTCGTTACGAAGTTGTGGATTTCTAACAGGTCCGGTGAACCTGTTACGAATATATTTGTAGAATATCTTTGGATCTTTGGAATTTGCTACACGGAGTTCATAAGTTTTCTTAGCCGCTTTTATTTCTACAGATAGACGGTTTGAATAAGCCCAATGAGTCCATAGTCAGTGTCAGATCGGCTATTCTTGAATCGTTTCCACAATGCTCTTTTTTGGAGTAATTTTTTACTAATCCACGGTTTTTTCGTTGAACGAGTCAGAGTTTGTTTAACAGTATTTTTGTCAACTAACTGCACTAAGTGCTCTTTAAATATGATCCAGTTATCATTTACAGACACCGAACTTAGCAAAGTCTCTTAGTCTATATTACTGATGTCATGGTTCAGCACTGCATAGTCAGTATTTTTTTTCTAATGTCGTATAAGTACAAAAATGGAAAGAATTTTTGTCATTGGGTTTTAACGTAGAATATCTTTAAAGAGAAATTAACATTCATTCTTTATATCACACTAGAAATTTGCGTGGAACTGAAAGTAACGTATTTACTGTGTGAGTTGTGGTGCCGTTTCTACACAAATTATTGTTATTATCTACTAATCTAATGTTAACATATACATAATTTTTCTTTTGTATATATTAATTGTAATGTCGAATTTGGTGAGGTAATTTTTTGACAGATATTCATAAACAATTCTGGTGTCAAGGAACTGCTTTGAAATTTCAAAAAATAAGTCGTTCTTCACAACTATGATATCATGGTTCCTCAAAATTATCTTTTGGTGAAAGGAAATTGTGCAGATTTTTTTTTTTAATTTTAATTTCGATCGATTCGTTTAAATATTAAATTTCAAATCAGTGCGTCGACTAGTTTTTGTTTCATTCATAAAAAAAAAACAAATTTGAAAATATTTTTATCATTTTAACAAAAGTCAAATTTTGTGAAATTATGCTACTATTATGGAAATGCATGTTGTCTCCTATTATCCAAAGTTGATGACCTATATTCAGTATGTCCTCTTGGCACTGGTTGCATTAAGTATGCAAAATGCTTATCAAGTATGGAATAAGTTGTGCCATTTTTCTTTGGTAACGAAATTCTGGCCAACTATGAGAAAATCATAGAACGCCTCCCCTAAAATACATGCTATAATTTTTCATGTCATTGAATTCAGGTAAAATACAAAAGTCGGATTAGGAGTTTCCACTACACTCTGAAATGTAGTGAGTATGATTTTAAAGTTGTGTGGGAAAGATATAAAGTCCCTAGTCCTCATCCAAATTTTAGCAAGAGGTTTTTAACTTCAGTTTGTTTTTATAATAGTTCCCGTATTAAAGAGATATTAGTAATAAATAGATTCAAATAAATATCTTTTTTCTATAGCAGATGTTAAAAAGTGTTTTGTTCTATTCAAAATAAAAAGCTAAGCAACATTTTAACTGCAAGAGAGAGAAAATTACACTTTAACAACAAGGGTAGATAAGGTAGGTATTTTAAGACCCACCACTGACCCGGAAATGACCGGCATTCAGGCAAGACTTCTATCATTACGGGTACTAAGACCAAGTAATGATATGCATTGATTAGATTAACAGAACAACTTTCGAGATTCTAGAATTACAGCATACAAATTAGTCAGCTATTATTCTCTAATCTCACCCCATCCCCAAAAGTCTAGCGTAACTACCGACCATTTATCCGCGCATCACTTGGAAAGTGACCTACACTACTCTGACCTACTGGTGCTAATCTAATCTGACTAACATGATCAGACTGTTCAAGAAACTTACGAACAATATGACATGTTCCTAACAAAACAGCTTTTTGAATTTTGATAATAATTATTGATCATTCAAATGCCATGACTTTAAATTCTCAACTAAGCTATTCGGAACTACAAATACATTAGAGATAACTAGGGGTAGAATTGAAATTTTTTTAAGATTCAACATAGATTTCATTTCTATCGATAATTGTAGATATTTTGAAATCTTGGTGTGATAAGTTTGAATAATGTTGTTTGTGTTAGGAACAGCAATGTCAATGAGAATGGCTTCGTTCGTGTGTTTTTTGATAAGTATGATGTCTGGTCTGTTAGCTGTAATGTTTAAGTCTGTAAATATTGTGCGATCCCAGTATAATTTGTATTTGTTATTTTCAAGGAACGGAGATGGAATGTAAGTATAATAGGGTGTCGTATCTTCGATTAAGTTCATAAGTGTTGCTAATTCTTGTGAATGATTTTGGCTGCGTTGTCGTGTCTAGCTTTGTAGTCAGTTTGTGCCAGGATACTGCAGGAGGAGATTATGTGCTGGATCGTTTCAGGTTTTGCTTTGCAGAGGCGACAGCAGTCGTTTCTTATATTTGGATCTTTGATGATGTATTTTCTGTAATTCTTGGTATTGATTACTTGGTTTTGAATAGCAAACAAAATCCTTCTGTTTCGGCATATAAACTTGATTTTTTTAACCAAATCAATGACATCTTCTTGTCGATATGAGTTTCTTCTAAGTCTCTGTAGAATTTTCCATGTAGTTGTTTTCGTTTTAGCCCACTTATTATTTTGTCTATTGTGTGGGAGGTGTGGATTTCTTCGGTGTTCGACAGATTTAAGAGTGTGTGGTTCAAATCTGCTCTTGTGATGGTGCAAAACATTTCATTTCTTTCTGCTTGTGTCAAGAAATACTTCTTTAGTTCTGAGATTTGTCTCTGATATATGTTTTCTAGGATCTGGAAACCCCTTCCTCCATTGTGTCTTGGTAATGAGAATCTTTCAATTGACGATTTTGGATGATGCCTTCTATACTGTGTGAAGTTTTTCCTTGTTGCGATGTTTAAATTTTCAAGATCAGTTTTGGACCATTTAATGACTCCAAAAGAATATGTTAGCAGTGGAACGCAGAATGTATTTACTGCTTTCATTAAATTTTTTTCCATTTAACTGTGTCTGCAATATTAATTTTAATCTCGCTAGGTATTGATTTTTATAAGATCAAAATTTCACAATTAAATTATTTTGGATTAATAGTAATATCAATTTTACAATTTACATTGCCAGAAATGCAAATTTTTGGCAATGTAAATTGTATTTTCTTTTTGCAGCAATTGCACATTCATTTTGTCATTATCTTTATTTTCTACATTAAGGATGTAATTCGATACTATAATTTTATTCGATATAGAGTCCTCGATGTACGATTCTACCACAGATGATGACTGCCACCCGCTCGTCACAGTAACAAGATCGGCACCAGTGTTTGCCTACATTGTGGCACAACTGCGTCGGAAACAGTGCCCAGAATACATTTCCGGATTTGATAGGTTGAGAAACTCTGCAATCTTCAAAGGAACCTTATATAAAGTATTTAGACCTACATTTGGATGGTACACCTTTTTTGACGATCGTTAATAAAAAAATTGTTGTGGGGCACACCCAAGTATTTTCTTACAATTTCTATTACGAAATGTATTATTGACATTTGATTAAGATTTAACAACGCCTTAATTTCTATCGACATCGATTAACAAATATTACTTTAATTTTAATACGGATTACCACTTTCCTTTGGTATTACCTATGCATTTTAGACGTTGCAGTCATATCCATAAATCTCATTCATATTTTGATTTACGTCGTGTAATTTTTCTATACAAATAAATAAATAAAGTTATAATAAAAAAATGCACTGCGCATGATTTTAATCAAGTTTAAAAAATACCAAATCGTGAATATTCTGACGAACTTTATTTCAAATAAAACGATATACAATTGCATATCAAATATATAATTACTAAAGTAACATAAAATTTTTAGTAAACTCATTGATCATTTTTCGACGACTTAGATCCAGAAGTTGCGTTTATTAAACCGTCATTACAATAAACGTGTCCCAGTGTTCACCGGTTTTCGGGTACAATTTGATTAAACCAAAACGTTTTCAGTGTCCTCGATAGATTTTTTTGCATCGGGGATGATGTTTATCGACCGTCCGCAAGCGGTCATTATCCTAATAGTACATTATCAATTGGCGCTTTTTTCGCTGTGATGTAGAGGGAGCTTTTGTGTTTCGGCCAAAAAGCCACTAATCATCTGCACCACCATAATCATGGAAGATCCGCCTATTACAGTCGACTAATATTTACATCCAATATTTACTATTGGCTCTCGTCTTGTCTGTTGTTAATAGGGCAATAAATTGCTGCATTCATCGCTGATTTATCGAGTGATATTATCATACGCGGTAATGAAAGCACCGCTCTGCTGCTCACGTTCCGGATATCCGAGATGAAGCTGATTGTACGTCGGCATGGTGGGTTGTAATTGCTGCAGCAGGAACGGTTGGGTCAGAGAGAACTGCATCTAGATAACCTACAGCGTCAACCTCCTGAAGCGGTGCAGCCAAGAAGCTCCCTTAACTTTGAAAGTAAACTTACATATGCCCGCGTGCCTATGTGCTTCGCAAAGGATCAGGATTTATAAATATGCAGATTCCTATCTACTTTGTTACTAAATGTCATCGTGACAGGCACTGCATTAAGAAAATATGCAAGGAAACATCATCCGCATTTTTAGTATCGCATGGAAAATATTTATCTTTGCAAAACTTGATGCCTGTTTTTAATTTAAAATTTACGTTTATATTCATGAAAATATTAAGAGATATTCCCTTTCTAGCAAATATTAAAATCGTTTCGTTTTTACGAGTAAGCAGAGTGATTCTTTACATTTAAACTTGCTGCTGACGCGAAAAGTAAGCTGACTTTTAGGATTTACGTAGCAGAATAAAAATTATACCAAACATTTACTTCAAATACGATATTTTGTCAATTATAGTTACGAATGTCCCATATGGAATAAATATGCAGGGATTTTATAAATGATTCTAAGGGCGTAGTTGGCCATGGATTTTAAAAATCCCGCTTCGCTGAAATTATGCCTCATTATAACGGTTCTTACTTGTCGTTAATGTCATTTGTAATATGTCACTTAAAATCGTCGTTTTTATTGTTTTAACGTTTTCAAGTGTGAATTGCAGTAATTTTCGTTGATCCAAGCTCAAAACAACAAAACAGTCGTTTTCACAACTCTTGTTAAATCCTTGGACATTTAGTAACATTCGCATAAAGTGATAGGCGGCACACATCCATGACCTACTTCGACAAGTGCACAGTGGCATGAGTTTTTTCTGTTTCTTGTTCCTGCTATTATCTATTTTTTGAAAAAAAAAACAGTGTGCTGAATTAATGAATTAATTCTCTCCTCTGCGTTGAGGAGAGAAAATCAATCAAATTTCAGTTCCTTTACACACAAGTGCATACTTTGTTGCCGGCGCTGATACGACATGAACATGCTAATGGTCAAACTCTTTCAAGTATAAACATAAACACTTGAACGAGTACTGAGAAATTGAGAACACATTATTTCTCGCTGGTTATCTGTTCTAAATATATTTCATATTTTCTGCACTTGTGCGGACCACAGTCCCTTGCGCTCTCGCGACGCAGGGTCTGTGGGGGTGTTGTTTACACCACTGGAGCGAAGGAAGTTCTTTCGAAATAACCTTCGACCAATTTTCTAAATTCGTAGATGTGTCCTTAATAAAAAATTTAATCATGTTTCTATTTTCACTTTTTGTAGGATGTTAACATTGTCTGCCTATTCTAACGTTAAACTACTCGGAAGTTTAATGTGATCGAAAAGATCATTAATATATATCAGTAGTAGTGCGAGTTCCAAGATTGACGCTTGTCGTACACAACCCAAGCTTCTTTAATGAAATTTAACCTTTTGGGGTATAATAAATTGTTTCCGTACTGATATTCATCATTTTTGTGACTGAAAATGTCATAATGGTATTCCTGGTCTTTCTAGTTTTTTTACTCTCGGGTTACTGAATTTTGAGCTACGAGGATCATTCAGGTTTAACCGTGGCTAAACTCTTTATTCAAACAAAGACGAATACTTTGTGTGTTTTCGGTGTTGTGGGGGTAAACGTTATATTGTTGAAATAATTATAAACTAATACATGCTATTTGTGGACATATTCTCCTTCTACTTTTTCTTAATAGGTAATTAGAATTTCAGTTTTAAAAAATAACATACTCCTGTACTTGTGGTTTATGAATCCGCCTTGAGATTTCCCCTGAGTCATCCAAATTTTCTCAAAAAAATCGAAATTGTGGTATAGAGGTTATTGTCAATAAAATATCGCGAAATCGAATTTTATATTTTTTTAAAAAAGCGTGATTTGTTGGATTGTACATCAAGGGCGACAAAAGTTCTGTCGAAATAACCTTCGACCAAGTTTTTTATTTTTTAAGTAAAAAGCGCAAATCGCTATTTCTTGGGAAAGCACTTTATTTGTCAGTTTTATTGAAACAAGAAACTTGTAAAAATAAATTAGTAATATAACTTCTGTATAAATGTATCTTATATCGTGAAAACAAAAAACATCTTCTAGCTTTGCCATTAGCCATGTTAAAAAAAAATCATTTAATAAAGTACTTTGACATACAAATAAGATTTGTTGAAAAGTTGCTTTCCTTCC